TTGCAGGAATAACTGTTGTAGATAAGAAATGGAAATACATCAAAGTAAGCTATGTATCTCCTGCCCCATGGTCTGGGTCCTTGTGCATTCCTGCCTCTGTCTGCTGCTCAGCTCCAAGAAGCTGCCAGTGCTCCTGAGAAAGAGTCCTGGTGAATGGCCATTAGACGGGGAGTTTGTAGCCTAGTTTGTACGAGTGAGCTGTAACCCTTGGCACTGTGTGGGGTGTCCGTCGTGACCTTTATCACGTTCTCCAAGGTGGCGTCTATTCCCCAACCGCTTAAGTAAGAAGCACCTCCAGGACCAAACTCCTCTGTGAAACTTCTGGGTTATCACCCACTTCCTTTCCCCTCAGTCCGTCAGTCATCGAATAGCTCGGTGTACCTCATGCGTGTTCTGACAGCTGTGGTGCTGGTGCCGCCCCCCCGGGAGCAAGGGAGCCGGCGAGGGAGGAAGCGTGCAGGCGCAGCGGGGCTCACGCAGCTGCTCCCACTCCTCCAGAGTCCTCTGCTTGGGCCGAAAACTGTTCTCTCCGGGTGGAAGGTCATGGAGGCAGATGCTGTCCACATTCGGCCCTTACTTACAGCCTCGTGGGAGTCAGGATCATACCCTGCCAGCTTATGAGGTCAAAATCAAACCAAAAGCAGCCCAGGCTACCTTCCCCTGCTTCTCCCCTGTAACCTCACCCACATCATAAAAATTCTACATTTTTCTATTTTTTGTGACAATCTTCCAGCAGATAAGGAATGTGCCCCTTTTTCTAATTCACACAGTGGCACCCTGCGGACTCTCCCTTCAGCGAGGCCGTGGGACGGGCCCATCAGGCTCATCTTAGGCTCATTTTAGGTGGTTGCAAAGAGCTGGTCTAGAACCAGTGATTTAAGACAGATGGTGAAGAACTTTCTAAATGTAGAGCCATCCCAGGAGAGTGGACTGTCATGGGGGATATTCTCCACCAGGAAATACATTCGAGCGCAGGCTGGAAAACTAGCTAGAATATTATGGAGAGATTTGAGATGGTTAGACTGGGTAGTGTTAAGTTTCCTTCCAATTTTTAGATGTTCTGATATAACTGGTATCTGTTTGGTTTTACTTTGGACATTGTAGTCTGCAGAAAGTAATCTTCAACCATTATCACCCATACTTATAATCTGTTTATGGAGCCGTGACTGGTGAGGCTCAGTGGGCTGGGCATCATCCCACAGACAGAAAGGTCTCCAGTTCCACTCCCAGTCGGGGCACATGCCTGGGTTGTGGGCCAGGTCTCAGTTGGGGGCCCACAAGACGCAACCAATCCACATTTCTTTCACACGCTGATGATTCTCTCTCTCTCTTTCTTCTCACTTCCCCTCTCTGTAAAAAAAATACGTCCATGGGGAGACAATGGGGGCAAGAAATGGTTTGGATAAGTTCTGTTTATACAGAACATTTCCTCTCCCCTTGCCCTCTTTTTCTCTCTATTTTTCTTTGGCTTCTTCCTCTGCTGAGACTGTTCTGGAAAAAGAATGTGGATATATGTTAGGGCTCATGGAGAAGAAAGAGAGGGCATCACCCTGGCTGGCCACGGTATTGCTGTGCCGAAGTTACACTAGCATAAAGAGATGGCAAACAAAAAATAAGGGGGTCACACAGTGTGCGGTACCCTGCCGGCTAAGCCGAGAGGATGACGAAAGGAGAAATGGCAGCGACAGGGTGCGCGTGCACATGCGCAGTTGTAGTTGGCGTCCGCAAGCGCCGGTCTGCTCTGCAGAAAGCCCCACGTGAGGTTGACTCTGTGTGTATCAACTTTAGGAAGCAGAAGAATTGTCTCCCCTTCTTCTGGGAAAATCACTTAGCTTTCCATTTCTTTCTAGAAAGAGGGAGAGCTTTGAGTCAAGGTCAACTGTTGGAAGGCCCAGTGTTGATCACTCCTGTCCTACCCGCACTGAGCAAGGCCCCCTCTCCTGGGCTTCCATTTTCCGTGGGGCTCATTAGGGGCCACTCTGCTCATGCCCCTGCTGCTCCCTAGCATCTGAGGGTAAGTGGGCCTCACTTGCACTAACACATAGGTGGGGACTCACCTGGTTACTAAGGGGGTCAGGGAGAAAGCTCCGTGAGGGCATCTCACTTCCTGCATGGTCTTAAGGCCTCAGCATGATGGGAATTCTGGCCTTGGAGTCGCACACTGTGAGAGTTGGAAAAGCCCTAGGCAGTCAGAGCTGTTCTCCACCGTTTGTCCTCCCGGCGTCACAGCTACAGCACCCCCAGGGCTCTGGGGTGGGCCCAGGGAATGTGGTGGTTTACTGAGCCCAGCAGCACTTGGGTCCTTGTCTCGCCAGGGCTCTGCCCAGGACGCCCTGCAGCCGCCACTCCACGAGACTGTCTGGTGAGACTCTGCAGGGGATGCCCATTTACCAGAAACCACTGGAAGACGGGGTGCGTGATGCCTGGGCTGATAGGCAGACGTGTAGGAGAGGCAGTGGTTTTGGCTTGTGTAACTGGAAGGAAACCTGTTATCGCTTCATTTCTTGCTAAGACGAGGTCAGGCCTGGGGTCAGGTTCAGGCAGGGGTTTGATGTGGGGTACAGACCCCAGAGGAATGGAAGCCCGGGGCTTTCTGCAGGGCAGAGCTCTGCTTCTCGGTGGCTCTGTGCTGGGGCTTTGGGTATTTCTAAAACAGAGGCAGGACGAGGCTGCTCTGGGGACAGCCCCAGCAAAAGCAGTGGGTTGTCCTGTGTACTCAGAACATGAATTGGGGGTGGGGGTTATGACGTGGTGAAGGGGGCTGGTAGTAAATGGTGTTTTTCCACTTGTCCTTTTTTGCGTCCTATGTCTTTGCCCCACTTTCCATGCTGTAGGCTACAACTAAGATCATCTGACAGCGACCATCCAATAGTGCACAGTAGTGCATGGGGAGGGGAGGCCAGTGTGCGAAGTGGTATTTTCCCAGATAACAGGGCTTGGCTGGCAGAATGGGGGTCCTGGATGAGGCCGGTCATGCCCTGGTTTGGGAGCCTTGGGAGGACAAGATGCTTTTCCCTCAGGGCCTGGGGATTATTGTCTCCATTGCTCCCTGACTTGGGGGAAGTGAAAGGAGTCCCAGGACTTAGGGTTGGGCAGATGACAGGGGTCACCCAGGGGAAAGGCAGCAGAGCAGAGAGACGCAGGGCTCAGCTGCCTGGGTTCCAGTCCGAGCTCCAGAGACAATTAACTTCTCTGTGCCTTAGTTTCCCACCCCTAAAACAGGGGTAATGACAGTTACCCACCTGCAAGGTCATTGAGAGGCTTAAGTGAGAGAGTGTACGTGAAGAACTCGCAGCAAGGCCGGGCGCAGACGGTACCTGATGGTTATCATCGGGGTGGGAGGAGTCGGCAGGAGGCAAGGGACGCACTTGGGCACAGCAACTGGCCTGTCCTCGTTTAACCCCTGGCACCGCCACTTGCCTCGCCGTGGAAGCCTCGGCAAGTCACTCAAAGTGCCCTGGACTCTGGTGTTGCCATCTGTGAAAGGGGGTGCTGCTCAGCTTGCAGGAAATTAGGAGGCTTATGTGAGGTCACGTGTGTGAGCTTAACAGGCTGGCACCCAGTAGGGACCCCACAGACTTCATTTTTTTAACTCAAGGGTGGTGGTCTACCTGGATCTCATGTCTGACTTCTGAAAATCTTAGAGGTGGAGGACAGGAAAGCAGTGGTCCTTCCTGTTCCCACTTGGCTCTCACCTCAGCCTCTGGGAGCCAGCAAGGAGTCTAGAAGGTTGATAAGGCCAACGGTAGAATCCAGAAGGGTGTGGTCAGCTGGGGCCTTGGGCAGTAGAAGTAGAAGGAGCAAAGAAGAACTTAGCTTGGGGGTAGGTGACAACATACCTGTCCCTAGCAGGTATGCCTCCTCCCACCCAAGGTCCTTGGGAGTGGGCCCGCCCAGCTCAGGTTACCTCAGCTGGATCCACTGGCATTTTCCTTGGATGTTCCATGGGTGCTGGCTGTGCTCAGGAGGGTGGTAAGTGGGCTCAGTGGGCTGGCAGTCCCAGAGCTGGGCGCAGGTCTTAGACCGGGGCTAGTCGGGCCACCGGAAAGCAGAGAAACCAAAGCTGGGGCTCCTGACCTTCCCCATCTGGGGTTTGACTTAAAGTCCTCTGCCAGGTTGCAGGGTCAGGTGCCTGCAGATCTCTGTGTCTCCCCAGCCAGCTCCTGTTGGCATCAGGGAAGGGAGGACGTGTGTGTGTGTGTGTCTGTGTGTGTGCGCGTGCACGTGTGCGTGAGCGTGGGTGGTTAAGCCGGGCCGGTGTGGGTGGAAGTGGGGAGGGTGAAATTCTCCAGCCCCACTGTGGTGGCCTATCATGCTACTCAAACCCAGACTCCGGGCAGCAGAGTCACCTTCAGCCCTCACCGAGGCTGGGGGTGTTGAGAGTGTCTGGGGAAGAGCTAAAAGTGGCAGAAAACATCCTGTTTGAAAGTGCATAGCTGTATTTAACCCTCGCAGCACTGTTCCGCCTACGCCGGGTCACCATGCACAGGGGTTCCCGGACGTCTGTCTTTGAAGCCGTCTAGGCCCTGGGCCAAATCCCAGCACACACCGTTCCCAGCTCCCCTGGGCTCCTCTGTCTCCTTCCTGCCCTCAGCAGCGGGCTGGGCCACCCAGTGGCTCTGCTTCTCTGAGCACCCCTCAGATCTGGGGTGGGGGCTGTGGCGGCAGGAGTGACCCTCGGGAAGAAGCCTTCCTCCCTCCTGACACGCTGGCCGTGAAAGGAGAGCCTCCAGCAAGGGGGCTGTGGCCGCTGCCCCTTGCTACTCCCTGCCTCCCGGGAGGGCCTTTCCTGGCTGCTGCCCGGTGCACACCCCGACACCCCCACACCCCTGCCAACTACACGCACCCTCGACAAGTCACTTCTGTCAAGTTTCGGTCCCTGATCTGGGAACTAACGTCCCTGGAAAGATCCTCTGTCGCCCACTCGTTGGGCTCCTTAGAGGACTGGCTGTGAGGTTAGGCTCACCTGCGGATAAAATGTTTCTCTTTTTTCTCTTCAGAGTCCTTTTGATCAGCAGTGTCTGCTCGACCTCACAGAAGGGCGCCCCTGGGCTCGGCTTTCCTGCACGCCTGCTCCTTCAGGTGGGTGTTTCCTCGTCAGGCACAGCCTCCCTGGCTTTCCATTTCCCAGCAGCAGCAGCAGCAGCAGGGCTGGGCCGTGGGAAGCTGGTGGGCAGGGGAAGGAAGAGGACACCACCCTGGGCTTTGCACATGCAGGGTGGTCCTGGGTCAGCGGAATTAGGAACAGCCCACTGCTGGGCCCCAGAGTGCTGTGGGAGTGGCAGCGAGGGCTCCGGGGGGCTCCGGGGGGCTCTGCCGGCTCAGGGGCGGGGGAGCTCACCTGGAAATGGTCCGCTTCGCAGTAAGCCTCTGGCCACCTGAACCAGCCCTCTCTCCTGCCTAACCCAGGGACGGGCCCACGCCGCCAGCCAGGAGCCTCCCGGATCACAAGGCACTGCCTCTCCCTCTTGTGCCCTAAGGAGCCCCTGCGATGCTGAACATTTCGGACACAGATTGGACTGATGTTCCCCCACCCCCACATTCGGTTTCTCTTTTTCCAGCAGATGTTTGGGCTCCCAGATGGTGCAGACTCTGTGGCAACGTCACGATAACAGGGAGTTGCGGCATCTCAGCTGACCCGGGGTTAAGCCACAGGCATCCTAGACAGTTTCTCCTATTGCCTCACAGTGCTACGGGGCCCTCTGGGGTCCCCGCCCACACGTCAGAGGAGTGCGATGCTCTGGAGGCCCAGGGAGTCAGCCCAGACTCGGGCGGGTCCCAGGGGAACTGCTGATACACCCTCAGCCACTTGGTCTTTCATTGTTAATGGTTTTCACTTTGTGAAATGTTTCATATACACACACAGGCATATGAAACATAAAATCGTGTTTTCATAATAAGATACCATATACCTACCACTCAAAAAAAAGTAGAGCGTGGCTACTGCATAGCGCCTCTGCATGCCCTTTCCCAGCTCAGCCCCTCAGAGGTTTCTGTAAATCACCGCACTGTTCCTTTTCTGACGTCCCTCTCTCTGTATACATACAGTATAGTTTAACAAGTGTCGGTCTAGCTGTGATAGGGGAGGGCAGCAGAGTCACTGTTATGACGTTAACGTTCCCAGGAGAAGAAGAGTTAAGGAGAAAGTCAGGGGAACTATGACGTCGTCTGTGCTACGTCCCCTCTACCCCTTTGGGAATGACAGCGTCGTGTCCTCGTCTGTCCCACTTCCTTCCTGTGGCTTGAAGCTCTTTGAGGAATTTTTTTAAATTTAAGTATTTGTTTTGTGCATTTTATAATCACGGTTGCTAGAGTTGGGCTCCTCTGGACCTCATTTGTAAAGAGAGTGATAATGGCCCTTCTCTCACTGGGCGATACGGGGATGGAATGAAATGCGGCTCCCATGGGCTCTGCCGTGCCAAACCCTGGCTCAGGGATCAGGTGCCTAGTCTGGGAAGGCAAGTCAGAGCCTCCCAGGCTCCTCCGGCCCCCGACTCCCCAGTCTCTCTCTTTCACCCCCATGGGAGGACGTGGTACCTTGGCCGGTGCTTAAACTCCCATGAGGTGCTTATCCTCCCACCACTGGCCTCCTCTGTTGTTTTTCTTCTGGCCCAAAGGACCCTGCTGTTGGGAGGCCCAGGGGCCACTTAAACCTGATATGACCCTGGCGAGGACTCCGATGAAACTGGGAGGCAGCAAGGTCTGCAACCACCTTAGGGAGGTCTGAGGTATCTCGGAAGCAGCCCTGAGCACAATGGCATTCAAGGTCAGGGGCAGCAGGTGAAGCCGAAGCCCAATTTGTTTAATGGAAACGTTGAGTTGGCTGCTTTCTGGGCAGGATTTCTCGGAGCTATTATATTTTGTTCCCTCTGTCTCTTTCCCCTTTCCTCAAGTGTGAAATCCATCTCTAGATGATAATGCTCATTTATAAAAGCCATCTCTGAAAACAAAATCAGTTAATTGTACATGACACGTATTGCTCAGAAGGACATTCAAAGCAATGTGTTGTGTTTACTCTGGAGAGAAAGAAGGAGGGGAAAGATTTGATTGCCTCGGTGCGGCACAGCAGGGCCACAGGCCCGTAGGCCCTGAGCCAGATGGCTGCGAGGAGCTGGCACGGGCACGGCGAGGGCTCCAGTTTGGGCCTGTAAGTCCTTCATTCCCTCGAGAACAGAGGGACTGAGGGGTTCTCTCTGCACTGAGGTCTCGGGCTCTTGGTGGTCCGCCTTTTTCTCTTGGAGGGGCCCTGGGCAGCATAGACTATGACCTGCTGCTGACGCCAGTGGCACGTGTGTGTTCCCTGCACCCCTTAAAGTAAAACTCATTGTTCAGAAGAGGACTGTAGCCCAGAGGTGCCCCGCTAGTACGCAGCAGAGGCAGCCCTGGGAGCCAGGCGGTCTGAGTCCAGGCCACGCCATGAGCAGCGTCACCAGTGCCCCCACGGACCCACTCCAGACCGGGGGGAGGGAGCCCCGCTTCTGCTCAGCAGGGGACGCAGGGGTATGGAGAGTCACGTCGTGAGGGCACCAGAGAAACCCTGCCCGGGCCTGGGCCCTGGGGAGCTGCCGGCTTCATCGAGCTCCCTGGAGATGGGGGGAAAGAGATGCAAAGGATGCCCGCTGGCCCTGGCACTGACTCTGGCACTGGCCGCGTGGCCTGCCTGCTGTTCTTGCAGGGATGGAGGCTACGGCGGCCAGCACTTCCCTGCCTGACCCTGGTGACTTTGACCGGAATGTGCCTCGAATCTGTGGGGTGTGCGGAGACCGAGCCACGGGCTTTCACTTCAACGCCATGACCTGCGAAGGCTGCAAAGGCTTCTTCAGGTGAGTCCTCCCCAAGGGCAAGAAGGAGGAGAGGACCCAAGCTTCCTGTAAAGGGAACCTCTGCATTTCCCATGTCTCCTTGCTCACCGTGCCCATGGAGAATGCCAGTCCCCGCAGGGGCATCTTCTTCCACCCCCTCCTCACTGCGTCTGCGTCCTCTGACCCCTCAGACAGTGCTTTCTCGAGGTCACGAGGTAGGTCCCCACCTCTCCGCTGCACCTTGACCCGCACCTTCTGTACTAACCAACCTGTCTATTCTTCCAAAGTGGTGTTCCTCCCCAGGGGACATGAGCAGCTCCCTAATCCGAGAGACAGCTGTGTCCTTGAGGAAGCCCAAGAACTTTACCTCAGAACTTGCCCTTCCATCCAAATCAAACTGTTTTTTAGAAGGAGGACAACTGCACCCCTGGTTGGACCTCTGTGCTCGGTCCGTGCCCCCGTCCTCCGTCACCGGCGCCTTGCCGGTTGCGGGTGGGAAAGCCAACCCCAGCGGGCACAGGCAGTGTCAGGAGTGTGCCAGCATGCTGTCTGGTCAGCGCCGGTTTCTCTGCCAGCAGTCCCCTCTCTTTCTCCGTCAGCCAGCATTGCCATTGCAGACAGTACGGGGACAGTCCTGGAATGGCAGAATTAAGGAGGTTCCCATGCAAAGCCTGGAAGGGAGGATGGGAAAGTGACCAATTACAGTATGGGACTGGGAGCCGCGAGGAATTGGCATTGGGCGTGTATCGGAGGGAGAAAAACCAGGAAGAAGGCATCCAGAAAAGAGCTGTACATTAGTCTCGACTGTAAGCACAGGGAAGGACGGGGCGGTAGCCACCAGGAGTGGAAAGAGCAAACCGAGGCCGGGACAAGGACAGGGAGGTCGGCCTGGCTCCCTGAACTGAAGTGCTCTTCGCTTTGAGGACGGAGTGAATCAGAGGCCTCAGGGCCTCTCCGGGGCCCCCTCTGGCTCAAGGGGCTCCCGGGCTCACCCGCCCTCTCCCCCGGGAATCAGCAGACCCGGAGTTTCGTTGCCTTGAGCAATCGCTGGGCAGCGGGGTTTCTGTGGGTGCTAATTGCCTGTTTGGCCTGGCACGGGTGTCCCTCTTGGCTTCCCGGCAGCCTGCTCACCAGCTCGGGGAACCAGACCAGCAGCATCGCTGGCTCTGGGTCTGTTGCCACGTCTCTTGTTCCTCTGGCCCGGAGCCTGCACTTCCTACAGGGTGAGCCTTTCAGAGCCCAGGCCGTGTGTTCCAGGTTCCCCGTGGACCCTTTCCTTCGAGGGCCTGGGAATGGGGGCCTTGCATATGAGGGGTAATGGAGGAGTCTGGGAGCACATGTCAGGGCCTGTTTTCTCCCGGGAAACCGCTTAGAAAAGTGTGGGCTCTGCAGGCGGCCATGCTGCTAATCAGTTGTATGTCCTTGCTCACATCTCTTGACCGCTCTGTGTTTGTTACCTCAACCAACCACATGGCAGGTTAATGTCTAGTCCCTCTACTATATAGTCAACCTGAGGATTAACAAGGTTGTATATAAAAGTGCTTTGAAAAGCATAAAGTACAATATAAGTATATTATTTTTTTATTTTTATTAATTTATTTTTAGAGAGAGGGGAAGGGAGGGAGAAAGAGTGAGACAAAAATTGATGTGTAAGAGAAACATTGATGTGTGGCTGCCTCTCACATGCTCCCCAGTTGGGGACCTGGCCCACAACCCAGGCATGTCCCCTGACTGGGAATCGAACTAGCGACCTTTCGGTTTGCAGGCCTGTGCTCAATCCACTGAGTCACACCAGCCAGGGCAAGTACACTATTTTTGAGTATGAGGGGTCAACACTGATGTTCTTAGTAGAAGCCTTCCCTGTTTATTATAAAATAAACAGAAGTTTCTCTAGCCACCCACCCTCCTTCTGCATTTTCTTTCCCACCTTCCCTCCTCAGACTTTAATGAGCATCTATGGTCCAGACATTGGGCTAGGAGCTGGCATATGAAGACCTGTGGGTCACTGCTCACCCGTCTGCAACCCAAAGGTCTCCAGCTGCTCTTGGGGCTGTCTGATTAATCTATGGACCCTGCCCCTGAATCCCCTCTGTTCCCAGGCCACCTCCTGCTGGGTTCAGCTCAGGAAGATGGGGCCCTTAGGTGGTTGCTGGTTGGATTCTGACAAGTTGGAGGTCAGTTTCTCCCTAGAATCCCGAATCTCTCTATGCCTGTGCCTGCTGCCCTCAGACACACAGGCAGGCTCTGAATCCCCGGGACAAGGCTGTGTTAGGTGTCTGGGTGGAGGGAAGACAGGTTCTTTCATGCCCAGAGCCAAGTACAGGAGATGGCAAAATGGACAGGGGTGGCACTTTGCACAGCCACGTCACCACAGATCAATGGTGTGGTTGTGTTGCCCATCGACACATTACGCTACCATAACCCACCCTTAGCCCTTTCCTCTGAGACCCCTTAGAGTCTGTTGCTGGCTAATGGCCAAAACCCCTGCCTGCAGGTCCCAGCATTCTGGGCGGTGCGCTGTTTCCTCTTGCTGTCCCTGACTTGGTGACTGAGCCCAGCTGCACTCCCCAAAGGGCCTACATCTCTGTCATGGTTTGGTTTGAATTTTGTTTGATAACCACACACACACAGGGCAATCTTCATTATTTGTGGCTTCTGTATTTGCCAGTTTGCCCACCTGCTAAAATTTACTTGTAATCCCTAAATCGATACTTACAGCAGTTTTGTGGTCATTTGTGGGCATGTGCGAAGCAGTGAAAACCAGTCTCCCCGCGCAAACATGCCCAACTTTCCGTTTCAGCTCCGTGCTGTAAACAGGGTGTCCTTTCTGCTGTCTCCTCAGTCACAAGTTTTTTACGTTTTTGTACTTTTTGCTGGGGATGTCATTGTTTCAGATGGCCCCCAGGTATGGTGTGAAGTGCCGTTCCTAAGTGCAAGAAAGCCGTAGTGATGTGCTTCACAGGGAAAATATGTGTGTAAGACAAGCTTGGTTCAAACATGAGTTCAATGTCAACAAATCAACTATATATATATATATGTATATATATGTATACATATATCAAAAAAGGTGCATTTAAACAAAATACACATATAAAACAAGGTCGTGTGTTGGTTGATTGATAAAGATACTGTGATTAGAGGCCCCCAGGAACCCGACCCTGTGTTTCTTCTGGGAACAGTGGGTCCAGTGTTCACTGACTCAGTGTCGGGGTTGACGTTGTAGAATCCACCTCCCATGCGTAACAGAATGGACTGTATTCACATAAGTTATCTTTTTCTCTTTCCCTCTCCCCCTACATCTCTTTCTTTGCTTCATTCAAACTCTATTTGGTATTCTTTCATTTTAGTCTAGTTCAGACAGTGGCCCGAGAAGCCCCTTGGCAGGTCTATCTGTGAATCCTGACCCCAGTGTCGGGGGTGGATGCCATCCCGGTGCCAAGCACTGCAACCTTGGGACGCAAGGATTTGTGCAACCAAGTCCTTTCTCTCAAGGAGCTCCCTCAACGCTTTCAAGACGGCACCCAAGGAAAGAGCATCACTTTCGTGTTGGGTCACTGGCTATTTTCCAAGCCCTGGGGACCAGTAATGCTGTTTGGCCATTTCGTGCCTCATTGACTTCTAAGACAGTCAAACTAAAGTGCGCTAGGAGCTGGTCGCAGTCATTCCAAGCAGGTCCAAAACCCATAATCGAAGCTCCTGGGGGAAATGCAGAGTTAGCTTCCCGTGAGCCTCTGATCAATTTCCATCAAGCCGTCAATATATAACCTTGTTTTGTGTGTGTTTGCTGTTTAAAGACACCTTATTTAACGTATGGTGTTGATTTACATAGTATCAACTCGTGTCTGAACAAAGCTTCTCTAGCAATGTATTTTCCCTGTGAGGCACATCACAGCTTCCTCACACTTGGGGACACCTCAGTCATCCGGCAGGCCCGAGATTCACCATCAAAGCAAAGCGTGATTATGAAGGCTGGACAGTTCTATTGCCATGTGGTCAGGAATTGGAGACAGTCGTGAGCCAGTCCTCCTGCAAGCTAATTCATGCTGCTCCTCTGGAGTCCGTGGGCATCTTCAGAGAAAGATGGCACTTCCAGTGCAGGGGCAGGCTCATAGGCGGCTGTATGTTAGCAACCAGAGCATGCGTAAGGGCCAGAGAGGGGAGGCATGTAGGTCTATTAGTAGAAAGTACATTATGTAGTGGATGATCTATGGCTATGGATAAATCTCTGGTCACGAATGGCTTTGTTCAAGCTCTAATATGAAGGAAAAGGTATAAGAGACAGAGAAGAAAATCAGAGGGTCCCCTTGATGAAGAGAATGAAGGTTATGGTGAAGTTTAAGAGGTGGTCCTGGAAGGCAAGACTGAGAAACAGACCACTGTTTGTCTGTCCGTCTTGTGTTCCCCCTCCCTGTCGACGTCTCCTTAGGCTGCACCCTGTGGAGCTGCGGGCTGCAAAGCGCCAAGCTAACGAAGGCCGTGTGGAGAAATGCCTTCTCTACCACCAGCCCCGCAGTTCTCAGGGGCCTTGTTAGTTATGGGTCTTGTGCAGTTCAAGGGGCAGAGGCTGGTGAGGATCCAGGAACACAAGGAATGTTCTGGCTTTCAGGAAGCTTGCCCAGCTGATAGTCGTACAAACCGTGATATGGAGGGAAGCAGAGAAATGGGGCAGATGTCCACTGACTTAAAACTCCAAGGGCTAAGTAAATAAAGAGAGCGGCAGGGAGGACCGGCCACACAGACCAGTCCATGGGCACAAGTGAATGAGTCACCAAGAAGTCAGTGCTGCTGGAGAGAACTTTGTCCGGGTCAGTGAGGCGCTGGCCTCCCCACGACAGCCGCTCAAGGGCGTGAGTGGAAGGGAAAGAGGAAGGTTCCCTTGGGATGGGCTAAGGGTCATGTCGGAAGCTTGCGCAGAGAGGGCCAGACTATTTGGGGAGGGAAGATCACTGGAGTTGTCCAGAACCATAGCTGGGTGGATACGATGAAGACCCCACCTTTCTTTTCGGCCAGCTTTCCATTTC